TTGAGAATTTGAAAATTTATATATTTTTTTGTTCACTATAATTTGAAAATCTTGGGTAATGTTTAGTTTTTAAAAATATTTTTTATTTTCTATTTTTATCCTTTAAAACAGTTTTCATTTTTTATAATCAATTTCATTAAAAATACATTTCTTTTTTGAAAATAAAAATAATGAAAATGTGTTTGAGATATTAAATTTTTTTGTTTCTAACAATAGTTCATATGAATTTCATAGTTATGATCATTAAATAGTTAACCAATTATGAAAGAACACAATTCATGATAAAATAACATGGACTTATGAGTTTGTTGCGTATATCTTTATATAATTTTTTTTTTAAGGATTCCAACTCTGAAGAGGATTCGAATTTGTAAATGGAAGAGCAACTCTCATGTTTTTGTTATTTTCTTTTGTTTCTTTTATTTTGTTGGAAAAATAAGAAAATATTTTTTTTATTCTCAAAATTGGCTAAATTTTCATTTTTATTCTCTAAAAAACAATATTTCTAAACATTTACTGGACACGTTTTCTTTACTATCTTCTATGTTTCATAAAAATAAAAAAAAATAAATATGTTTTCTTAAACTAAACAAAGTCTTATTCTTGTCATAAAATCTTATTCCTACATCTGATTTTCCAAAATTAAAAAAAAAAAAGGAAATGTACTCCTTTTTCATTTTTTAGAATTTGTACCCATATATCCTAAAACCAAGAAATAAATGTAAATAGTATTATATTTTAGTTAAATTTGATCATTTATATATTTATATGATATATATTTTGTATTAAATATATATAATATAAAAATTATCTTATCATAATTTATATCACACATTTTTAAATCATATATTTATTTAATAAAATATATTATTGATCACTTAATTGTGATCATATTTTTAAAATAATCATTTAACTATTAAATTTTTTAATTTGATTATTAAAATTTGAGCAATTTTTTTCATCTAACCATTAGTTTTTAATAACGTGCTAATATAGTATTATCACATCATATGTCATGTGATGCTATTATATTATTATATTGTTAAAGATTGATAGGTGAGTGATAAAAAGTATTTATTTAAATTTTAATTATTAAATTAAAATTTTTAATAAATAATATTATTTTTTTATTATTATTTTTTAAAAAAATTAAAGTTAGATAAGTTGCTCGATCCCTTATATCAGAACAAAATATATCATATATAATAATTTAAGATAAATAATTACAAATTATATATTCCAAATAATCTTAATAAACGATTATTAATAAAAATTAAGTTGAAGATTATTTTATTAAAAAAAAGATAAACTTTAATTAATTAAATCAATAATTTATTAATATTTTTTATTCTACCATCCAAAATACGGGATCTAAGTCTGGTCTAAGCTAAAAGAGAAAGTAGATATTTTCTCTTCTTTTCTTCAAAAGTAGACTTTAAAGCTAGAAAGAAAGCTGCTGTTCGAAATAAAGTATAATAAAAAGTTGACCAAAAGCTGAGACCAACAAGAAAACAGAGTGGACTCTCTGCTCCACTTATACTTCGGAAAGAAAAATACAGAAACAAACAAAGAAAACTAAACTAAACCCACTTCAGCAGTCCAAAAACTAGAAAAATTTTACACAGAAAATTGAGGAATGTTCTTTATCTAATCTTTTTCTTATTGCTTGATTATTTCAATTGTACTCTATTCAGATAATCCAAAACTTGCTTGAAACTTTTTTTTTGTGTAGATCTTTGTATTCAGGTCCACCATGACATGACAGCTCTTTTGTCCCATAATTTCATATAAACTGGTCACAATTCATACCTGACTGGAAATCACTCAGCAGTGACCAATGTTCCAATCATAAAAGCACTGAAGGGAGGCGTGAGAGTGGTGGAGCTTGACATATGGCCCAATTCCACAAGATAATGTGCATGTTCAACGTGGAAGGTAAAATACTTCTAATTTCCTTGTACTCAGTATGTGTTGCAATGTGGGTATGTTTTGATAGAACTATATTAGTAATTTTGTTTTCTCTATGCAGTGACTTAAGATGGTAATAGGAACGACTTAGAAATCATTCATTTATGAGGGAAAATGGCATGCTTTTCTAGCATTGATTAGCTGGCATGGTCTGATTTAATAAATTATCATCTATGTTTACTGAGTACAATGACGGGTTCAGTAGCTTTTTTTCTGTTGATCCCATACGTACAAAAAGTTCACAAACCATTACTTCTAAATGCAGTCAGTCAGTTATCAATTTCCTTTGCATGTGGAGTCAATAGTTTGTCTCATTTTTTTAAGTGTTTAAAAGACCAAGTTCGTCAAGATCTTGGTGCTTGACTTGTTATGCTTGACTTGTTACCAAATTGGCCCTTTTTCAAAGTAGATGTTTGTGTCGAACTATCTTGACAAGAGTAGATTGATTAATGGTAAAAATTGAAGGTTTTTTTTTTTATGCTTGCATTTTAACATTCAAGTTAGTTCTTAAAAAAAAAGTAAAAAAAAAAAAAAAAACTCGAAAATAAATGTCCATGGAATTGAATTAATGGTACATAAAAGAAGTTATTTATATCTATACGGTAAGAATATTAAATTTACTGAAAATTTGACCAGCTGGTTTATAATTATGTGTAGGGCAGCGTCATTGTCATGCAAATGGGTCCATTTTCATTGCTCTTTGGCTTCCTTTATAATTTTTTTATGAAAAATTTTGTAGCCTTCAATGCGAGTATAAGCGAAGAATTATAAGTTTTGAAATATAAATTTAAATTTATTATAAATTATATTTTAAAAATAATTAATTAAATTATATTTTAAATTCAAAATTTTTTTATTTACAATGCTCATACCCCAAATCTATAAAAATTTATTGAAAAATAATAAATAATAAATATTCTGCTCTTTCATTTCATAAATTTTTAATTCAAAATTCAAAATTATCTCTCAAACATTTAATTTTGAAATGAAATAATTTTGATAAAAATGAAATATATATGCATTAAATCTTCCTTGATGTCCATGATAAGAATAGTAATATTAATATGCATGATTATTGAATTCAGATTTAATTTAACTAATTTATATAATATTTTTAAAAATAAAATCTTAATTTTAATATTTATAATATTTTTAAAACTACAAACTTATTTGTAAAAATATATACACAATAAAAAAAATTTTAGCGAGGAACAAGGATAACTTTTCATGTTGTTATGTTGATTGAGAAGGTCGAGTGATTGAAGAACTTACTACAGGCTGGGGTACAATTTGGCGGTGTAATTGGCACACTTTCCAGTACGGCCAACCGATGCAAAACTTTCTTTTGAAAACCAACATCAAAAAAGGTGTCTATATGTCCTTTCGCATACTTTTTCACTTTAACAAATAAATAATTAAAATTGCTTGCTAGTAGCTACTTATGTCAGACATAAAAATATCTACTTGAATATCAATGTATTTGTACTTCTTGTCTTTTGGGCTTTGTTTGATTTTGCAATTTTAGAATTTTTTTTTTTTTTTTTATAAATTTTGAATTTGTTTGGCATTGTAATTTCAGAGTTTTCTAATTTTGATTCTATCCTGATGAGTAATGCAACATTTTGGAATTGATTCTTTTTGGGGGGCTAAAATTCATTCAAAAGCGACAGGGATTCTCTCTGAATTTTCTTACCGTGTGAAAATGAAAATCATAACACGAAAAGGAAAATTAAACCTGTGAACGACTAAAATGTAAAAAGATAGCTTGACTCAAAGAATCCACGACTACCACAGATTAATATTCTTGCTTCTAAATAAGTATATATAGCAATCTTAATCAAAGAAATCTCAGCTTCCATACATGTTTTCATGTGGGAATAGAATCCAATTTCCAGGAATGCTTCATGCATGGCAATGAAACAAAGAAGGCGGGAATTTGTTGAACAAATCTGATATATAGAGTTGTGGAATATCAGTATATTATTAACCTGATAAAATCATCAACAAAGATAGTCATCGATCAGCCCGACATTTTTATTCTTTTGATCTAGTTTCTGTAAGGGAAGTTTTCTCACGGTTATTTTCTGATGGGGTACATGGGAAATTATAGCATGGGCATTTGCCTCCCTAAGAAACTTGGGGTCGCTGAGGCAGGGCCTCCGGTGGACGTGAAGGAAGTTTTCATGGAGTTTGCCGAGGGAGGAGCCTGCATCACGGTGGAGCAGCTGAGGCGGTTCTTGGTGGAGGTTCAAGGTGATGCTGCAGTTTCCATGGAAGATGCTGAGAGGATTGTGGAGGAAGTGCTCCATAGGAGGCATAACAACGGAGAGTCTACAAACCAGGCTCTAAGTCTTGAAGATTTTCATTTTTACTTATTTTCTGTGGATCTCAACCCTTTTCTCCACAATCAGGTAGAAATCTGTTATTGCTTCTTTTCTTGGTGTTTTGTTTGGCTGCATGTGCTAGCAAAAGTTTTTTATATATAAATATATAAAACAAAGTACATTTCAATGTTTAACATAGAACAAATTACATTCAGGTTCATCAAGATATGACTGCTCCTCTCTCCTACTACTTCATATATACTGGTCACAATTCATATTTGACTGGAAACCAAATCAGCAGTGATTGCAGTGATATTCCAATCATAAAGGCTCTAAAGAGAGGTTTAAGAGTGGTGGAACTTGATTTATGGCCAAATTCTACAAAAGAAGATGTTCTTGTTCTTCATGGATGGTATGTACACTTCATGTATAAATTCAAAAAAAAAAAAGGGAATTCTCAACTGAATTTATTTAATTCCAGGAAACTTGAAAGATTCTTATAATTTCAGGGTTTTTCTTTTCTGAGTTAATGTGTATCTGTGAAATGTAGGACCCTGACAACTCCAGTGGAGCTGATAAAATGTTTGAGATCTATTAAAGAGCATGCTTTTTCTGCATCTCCATACCCGGTGATAATTACTTTTGAAGACCACCTTACCCCAGATCTTCAAGCTAAAGTCGCTCAGGTTTTTTGTCATTTTCTTCTTGGAATTTTAATACCACCAATCTTAATTTCCTGGAACTATACATTTCAGATTAATGCTTCACAACACTTTTTCTTTTGTCTACAGATGGTCACCCAAACATTTGGAAACATGTTGTTTTATCCTGAATCTGATTGTCTGAAAGAATTCCCTTCCCCAGAAGAACTGAAATATCGAATTGTAATATCAACTAAACCTCCAAAAGAATACCTTGAAGATAAAAGCTCATCAAGCAGAAGAAGAAGAAGAAGAAGTAACTCCCACAAAGAAAAAGATTCTGATGATGATATTTGGTGGAGAATGTCAGTAGACCTCACAAATGATGATAGGAAGGTCAGCTAAAAAAGAGGAAAAAAAGCTTATTCTCTTTTTCATTTTTCTCCTCAAATTTCTCCTTAGGGATTTTTCTTTTTTTTTTGCCAGGTTTTACTGCTGAGTGATTGTGATGCAAGTGAACATAGTCAATGTGATGGTGACAATGAAGCCAGTGATGGGCTATTGCGCCCATTAGGGACACCCGCCTACAAGAATCTAATTTCCATTCCAGCTGGAAAGCCGAAGGGAAAGTTGAGGGAGAAACTAAAAGTTGAGATGGATAAAGTTAGACGCCTAAGTTTGAGTGAACAAAAATTTGAAAAGGCTACTGCCTGCCATGGAACGGAAGTTGTAAGGTACACAGCAAGTATGAATTCGTGATAACTTTGTTTATGACTGGATCTAATCTAATCCTGGAAATAATCGTGTGTAGGTTCACGCAGAAGAACATTTTGAGGATATATCCAAGGGGTACTAGGGTTGATTCCTCAAACTACAATCCTCTAATTGGTTGGATGCATGGGGCTCAAATGGTTGCATTAAACATGCAGGTTTGGTTTGTATTCCATTTTTCAATATCTGAAGCCGCTTCTTAAATACTCTGATTGGTTCCTTGTACTTTTTAACATGTTTTATGGTCTAATTGCAGGGATATGGCAGATCTCTATGGTTAATGCATGGGATGTTTAGATCCAACGGAGGGTGTGGGTATGTGAAAAAGCCAGACTTTCTGATGGATATGGGTCCAAATGATCGAGTTTTTGATCCTAAAGCAAAGCTGCCAGTGAAGAAAATCTTAAAAGTGAGTGTGGAGTTCAATTTAAAAAAAATATATGATTCCCCACCATAATAGTCATCTTTTCTCTAATTGTCTTCCCATGTTATTCAACAGGTAAAAGTATACATGGGAGATGGATGGGATTTAGATTTTAAAAGAAGGCACCTCAATCTTTGGTCTCCACCAGAATTCTACACCAGGGTAAGTGTTACTTGCTTATGGCACTTAGAAATTTGATTGGAAGAAATCATCATCCAATTACTCAGATTTTCAAGTGATTCCGTTCTTTAAGCAGGTTGGCATAGCAGGAGTACCAGCAGATAAGACAATGAAGAAAACAAAGAAAAGAAAGGGCAATTGGACCCCAGTGTGGGATGAGGAGTTCACATTTCAATTGACAGTTCCGGAAATAGCTTTACTTCGAGTTGAAGTTCATGAGTATAACATGTCTGAGAAAGATTACTTTGCAGGTCAGACTTGCCTGCCAGTATCCGAATTGAGACCAGGCATCCGGGCAGTGCCTCTGTTTAACCGCAAAGGAGAGAAGTTCACTTCACTTAGGCTTCTCATGCGCTTTGAGTTTGTCCATGTAGATATTTAGTCTTACACAGACAAAGTTTTTTGTTACTAGTACAATACTTTCCCATGGTTGGGAAGTTCATTTAAAAAAGAATCCATCAAATTTCATTTTTGTGTTCTGTGATAGTAAACAAATGTAAGAAATTTATGGTGCATCAGATTCAGTAACTTAAATTCATCTAAACTTTGAAATTATACAAACATGATAATGTTACACATACTTGAGTCAGAATTTGAAACTGAAAAGATCTATATATCAGACTCAATATTGACACAGTCACATAGCTGTTAACACGACGACTCAAGTCAATCTTAACTTCATATTTTCAACCAAGAACGCCCTAACATTTTTTTTCCCTTAGTCCCCAAGGAACCGGCATCTGTTCTTGTCTGGTCATGTTCAAAAAGCATCAATGTTAATTAAATGTCCATAATAACTGGGTTACAAGCATTTTGCTCTACTTTGCTGCCAAAAAGAGGAATGTAGGAGTAAAAAAAGCGGGTCACCACTGCATTCCTTGCTCTCTTTTGACCCTTTCAATGCAAATGACAAGCAACTCTTCCCTTGGAATAAAGCAAAACTGCCTTTGCATAAGCACATATTCTCACTTTATTAAAACGCAGTTTCTGTCTTTCCATCTTCATTTATATACAAAGAAAACTTAAGTACTAAGAAAGAGAAAGAAACATCATTAGAGTTCAGATTTCAACCTTTGCCAGTGAAAGGGGAGATGATAGAGCACAATTTCAAGGTTTGCCTGTGTTGGAGGAGAATATTCAAGACAAGGGTAGTTGAGCCACCTATGGAAGTTAAGAATGCGGTTTACCATTTCTCACAAAGTGAAATGATGACAGTTGATGAACTGCTGAGGTTCCTGATTGAACACAAGGGAGAAAAGAATGCCACTAAGGAGGATGCTTATGTTGGGCCTAAAGTAATAAACACAACAACTTAAAAGCAATATATTGCAATAAACCCACAGTAATAGATAACAATTAACAATCAACAACGCAAGAAAATAAAGTACACCAAAATTTACGTGAAAAATCCTCCAGTGTAGAGGAAAAAAATCACTAACCATTAGAAAAATCTCCACTATTAAATAATGGATATACAAAGTTCTTTTCTAGCTAAAACTAGAGCTGATCAACAACTAGAGAAACAATTGGAGAAATCTCATCAAATAGGTGACTTAACAAATACACCATAGATTTGTTCCAAGAGAGTTTCAAACTCGATCTTCACCATTCAGAATGTAGAACTCTGAATCATAAACCTGCTAACAAAATTTCAGCTTAATCGATCACGGATCGACTTCTGTTCAACCAGCTCTCCTTTCTCCCTTTTCTCTCTATTTTTCTGGCTTTTCTTCTTTCTTTTCTTGGTTTGTGACACCACCTTAAAACAGACCCACCTCTTTTTATTAAATAGTAGGGCTTTGTATAAAAAGAAAGACCAAAGCCTATAGCCTTTGATTGGTCCAAAACCAATTACATGAGGCTAGATCCCATTTTTCTAACAATCTCCCCCTTCAGCCCCATTAGGAAAAGATTTATCACCATAGCAGTTTCATTTGAAATTTACCTTGGTCGAAAAACTCATTCTGGCTAAGTTAATATAGAGTTTAAGTCTCTCTGGGAAGTATCTTAGTCAATATATATGCTACATTCTCATCAGTATGAACTTTGTTCAATAGCATCTGTTGTTTCTCAATCACTAAATGTAACCAGCGATATCTAACATCAATGTGCTTTGTTCTAGCATGGTACATGGCATTCTTACTCAAATCTAAAGTACTCTGACTATCACAAAACATCACTTACTCTTTTTTATTTAACCTCAATTCAAAAAAAAAAATGTTTCATCGAAAGCATTTCTTTACCTACTTCGATTGTTGCAATATACTTAGCCTCTGTAGTTGACAAAGCAACATAATTTTGCAAATTAGACTACAAAGACACAGTTCCTCCTACAAAAGTGAACAAATACTCATAAATAAATTTTTTACCATCAAGATCACTTGTCATGTTAGTATTAGTAAACCCTTCTAGAACTGATTGTGAAACTCTATAACTCAAGCACATTTTTAAGGTGCCCCTCAAATATCTGAAAATCTGTTTCACTGTTTTCTAGTAAACCTTTCTCGGATTAAAAAGAAATCTACTCACTACACCAACTGCATGGGCAATGTCAAGCCGTGTACAAACCATAAGATACATTAAAAATCGACTGTAAAAGAATAAGAAATACTAGACATAACTAGTTGCTATTTTTTAGACACCGGATAAGATTTCTCACTCAGATGAAAATGGTTGGCAAATGGACTGCTAACTGATTTAGCATGTTGCATGTTAAATCTACTAAGCACCTATTCAATATATTTTTTCTGTGACAACTATAGCTTTTCAGCTCTCTTGTCTAGGATAATGTCCATATTGAGAATCTGCTTTACTAAACCTAAATTTTTAATATAAAAAAACTTAGACAATTGTTCTTTTAATCTACAAACCATACTAGCATCTTGTCTCATAATCAACATATCATCAACATATAATAAGAGAATAATAAAGTTATCATCAAAAAATTTTTTGATATACACACAATGATCCGTTACTGTTCTTTTATAGCTATGGCTCATCATAAAAAAATTAAACTTTTTGTACCATTGTCACTGAGCTTGTTTCAAGCCACACAAGCTTTTTTCAGTTTGTAAACTAAGTACTTTTTCTCTTTCACTTTAAAACTCTTAGGCTAATTCATATAAATGTTCTCATACAAGTCATCATGCAAAAATACAATCTTGACATCAAGTTGCTTAAGCTCAAGATTCAAACTAGCTGTTAATCTCAATACCACTCAAATGGAACTCATATTCACAACTGGAGAGAAGATCTCATCAAAATCGATGCTCATTTTTTTAGAAAACCTTTCACCATCAATCGAGCTTTGTACCTTACTAGCTTGTCACATCTTTTTTTAACTTGAACACCCATTTATTTTTCAATGACCTCTTTCTTTTCAAAAGTTTAACAAGATCATAAATATCATTTTTCTGCAATGACTCAATCTCTTTTTTCATTGGTTTTAATCAGTGCTCGCTATCTGAAGTAACATACACATCTTGAAAGCTCTCTGACTTTTTCTCACTGGTAACTAAAATAAAATCTAAACTTGGATACCTGGTAGATGGCTTACACTCTCTAGTAAATCTTCTAGGCTGAGACTCTACATTACCTGATGCCAAAAGTAGCTTTTCCTATTCAACACTCTCTAGTGGAGTAGATTGCTTATCCTGTTCAAAACCTATTACATCTAGCTTATTACTAACCGTGGCTAGCACATTTATATCTTCAAGTTCTATTTTTTGCTCATTTCTACCATCTATAGTTCTTTTCTATGAAACCCCTGTCGATGTTGAAACATCATACTCAACAACAACCTATGTAGTCTTCTTATTTTTCTTAAAGTCTGTTATAATTTTTTTTCATGAAAGATCACATCTTTACTTTTGATTGTCTTTCTTTTCACTGGATCCCATACTTTATAGCCAAATTTCTCATCATCATATCTTATAAACACACACTGTATGGCTTTACTATCAAGTTTTGACTTCTGCTCTTTCAGCACATGCATGAATGCTTTATACCAAAAAACTTTTAAATGAAAGTATAAAGCATCTTTTCTTGTCCACACTCTTTTTGAAATCTCAAAACCCAAAGGAACTGAAGGTGATTTGTTAAGCAAATAACAAGATGTGTTGACTGTTTCACCCTAGAATGACTTTTGTAATTTTGTCATCCTCAACATACATCTAACTTTTTTCATAATAGCGCAATTCATCCTTTCAGCTATACCATTATGCTACGGTGTTTCAAGTTCTGTCATCTCATGTCTAATTCTATGCTTTAAACAGTACTCTTCAAAGTCTTTATATATGTATTTTCTACCATTATCAGTTTGAATATACTTCAAGAGTAACCCTATCATTTTTTTCACCATGGAATAAAATTTTTAAAAATATTACAATTTTTTATTTTTATTTTTTAACATATACATCCAAGTCTTACATAAAGCATCAACAATAAAAGTAACAAAATACCTGCTACCACATAATGAGTCAACTTCATTGGGATCACATACATCAAAATAAATCAATTCTAATCTATTTTTTTTTCTTTGAAAACTCTTATGAAAAGAAACTTTATGATGCTTACCAAACAAACAATGATCACATGAATCGAAAGGCATACATTTGGTCAAGGGAATGAGAAACTGCCTTGTCAAAACCTGTAACATTTTTTCACTCATGTATGTCAACCTCTTATATCACAAAATTTCTAAAACATTATCTTCAATGGCATTTATCTGGTTACCATTCAATTGCATCCATGTCTTATACATTGTGCAACATAGTTTTTTTCTTGCAACTACCATAGATCTTTTAAGAAGCTTTCATTGCTCATTTTTTTGTCGACTCTTATATCTCTTATTATCAAAGACATTAATAGCAAGTAAGTTTATTCTCATATCTAAAATGTGTCTAACATCCCTCAAAGTTAATATGTAACATGTATTAATTTGCACAACAATATCACAAATCCCAACAATATGTAATACACTTTTATTTTTCATCTTAGTGTAACCAAAGTTTTCTATTTTATAAATTGTAAACAATTCTCTCGTAGGAATACAATGATATGCCGCTTCTGTGTCAACTATACACTCAATAACGTGATCACTAACATGATTATAATCATTATATGTATAAATCAAAGTAATTGAATCACTATCTAAATTCATTACTGTAACATTACCATCATCTGAACTTTTACCTTTTCATCTTTTTACTCTTGCTTCAAGATTTTAAAGTGTCATTTTATATGACCTACTTTACTATAATAAAAATACTTCACTTTATCTTTGGACTTGGATCTATGTTTAGACTTACTATAGCCTTTTAAGTTCTAACCTCTATCAATGTTTTTACTCCTGTTCTCTATGACCAAAGCTTGATTATCAAG